CTATTCATGCGTACTAATCCCTTAATGAGGTTAACGAAGTCCGCAAGCTCTGGAACTGCGCCTTTCTTTATCATGTCTTAAGGATGAGGTGAGGATTAAACCAGACTTCACTGATGGTAGGGAGTTAAGGATCAAGAAAACTGGGCCTTATATATATAATTGTATTAGCCGCAAGAAGTCCTGCTGTAACCGGCGGTTTCCTCTCCAGCCTGCAGTATTCGCTCACTGTATGCAGAGCTAATAGAGGTAGCATCCCACGTGATACTGAACCCTACCTACCCCTTCTTCTTTCCATTGCTAATTTGTGTATTTGTTGAATGAATTGCAACTGTAGGAACAAGAGAGTTGATCCAAATTTGTACCGTTTTACTTTCTTTAAATTGTCACCAAATTGGAGATGACTGTGGGAATTTGAATGAATTATGATTTTTGTTTACAAATCTTCTTCGACAAGAAAAGAGTATTCCAAATGCTTCGTTTGCCTTCCTGCTTTTTGATTGCTATCAATTAGAACCCTATAAACTGGATTTATGAGTCATCTATTAAATCCTATATGGTTGCCACGTTGATGGGCTCAAGACTTATCCATATTTTATAATTAATTAACTAATCTTTCACAAAAATTACTAATTAATCAATTATTCACATAATTAAGAATTATCTCAACTTACTTAAAATATTACTTATTTTTAATACACTTTATATATCCTACTATCATGGTTATGTGGTACTATATAAAATCAATACATACAATATTATTTCATTAAAATATCCATGTAAAAATACATATATTTTCTCAACTTCTAATTTTCCTAATCTCATATAAAGAGTAAAATTTTCGTACGCTTAATTCTTAAAATGGTAAAAAGATAACCTTCTTTTCTTGTGAGAAAATAATTTCTATCTTTACAATAAAGAAACTCTCATAAACTTTCTCATATTATGTGTATAATTTAAAATATATTCGAAAGTAGTAATATTAATAACTATATAAAATTATATTTTTCAAACCTTTTTTTTCTACAGTAAATGTTCAACTCAAAATAAGTATCATATCAAAATGTATCTAACTGTATCAAGGTTGTTAAACTTACGAGGTGTAACATCTTTGTTCATGTTAACTTCACAAGAAAAGGTAGAACCATCATAGTAAGGGGTTGGGGAAAGATAAGAATATAAGCATAACCATAAAAGTGACCATCTTGACCACCACACATATCACATACATTCCACACATAAGATTGAGTTGGTGCACATAACTCGCTCTCGGAAATATTTTGGTAATTAACATGGGTGATTTTCTTCACAATATGCATAAGGAGGATTAAAAGTAGAATTACCAGCATCCAAACTCCCATAATTTCAGGATACCATGTTTCTCAAATTAACAAGTAAAACAAAAATATAAAAAAGATCAAATACAACAAAACAAAAATAAAAGTTCAAACTTGCAACCTAGCAATATGTATACCTACAGCTACACTGTTAGTTCCCCGGCAACGGCGCCAAAATTTGATCATGCCCAACTCTAGTCTTAAAAAGGATAAGTGGTCGCTGCAAATATAATCCGGTCTAAAAGTCCGGAGTCGAATCTCACAGAGAACTAAGGCTTAGCTATATCTGTTTAATTTCACTAAAAATACAAGTTTGAACAATTTTCTAAATTATAAAGATCGAGATTTATATTTCTAACTAATTAACTAGCAAATACTAGAAAGCGATAAAATTATCAACTAACGAGACAAAGAGTTGGAGACTAAATTAAGGAGATCTAGAGTTATGATTTCCCCAATTGTCGAAATCCTTCTAGCTATGTTCCCTATAATTTTGCCAATGTATTCTCTACTGATCGTGAGCACTTTAGGTGCCGTAATTCTCTCTCGAGCAACTACAGCAAATTACTAGACATATTCTCTCGAACTACGCTAGTTGGCTTTATCTAACAGCTCATTATGAACACGTCAAGGCTTTGTTATTTCTAAACCTGCCTTTAAACCCGTTGTATTGATTTCTCACATACGTTAGGAGTGACGTTGTTCAACAACCACCTAAATATGTATCCTTTCTCAAGCAATACATAATAGGCGTAGTCAATTGATGGACATTCAATCAACAACAACAAACACATAGTTGAACAAGTAGAGAAATCTAAAGGCTCAATTATATAAAAACATAACAAGAATTTATCCTACAAAAGGTTCTATCAAAACCCTAGATAACAAATTAGCTATTCATAATAGTATGTAAAATTACAATACTAAAAGTCATAACCAACAATAAAAAATAGGAAGAGGAAGGAAAAACTCATAGAAGAATTCCCCGCCTTGCTCCTATTGTGTCTCTGCCTCCTTAGGTTGAATCTGTGTCAAAAGTATGTCCAACCTCCTCAAAATACCATTTTTCCATGTATATATACCAAGTGGGGTCGGGCCCAAATAATTATACTTTCTCCTACGCGAAAAAGGACAATTCTTTCAGGTTTGGAGCTCGCGGTCGCGGTCCGGGCGCGGTCATTACCCAGTGTACTGCCTCAGTCCGCATCCAGGTCCGCGGTCGCGGTTTCAACCGCGTTTTGCACCCTGTTCCGTTCGAAATTTGGAAACATATAAAATATAAAAGTTGTAGCTCTTTGCGTTAGCTTTCCAACCATATATTATATAGACCAAATGGAGGTCTGAGCAAAACATTATGTGTATTTTATTAGACAGTGCACAATATACCTATTCGATTCTTCATTTCGTTGCTCTATCATCCGTTGATCCCCGAATATGATCCTGGCTTAATTCCTTGGGCTTTTACTCAGACTTCAAAGCTCCAAATCACTTGAATTCATTCCATAACATCTACATAGCTCGAAATCACTCCTACAAGGCATAAAACACACAATTAGTGCAAAATACTAGCGATTAAAGCTCAAACTCAGTGCAGTAAATTAGAGTGTAATAAGCGACTAGAATACATAATTATAGTATATCATCATAATTCATCTCAAAATCAATAAGAATCTCCTCTCTCTACTTTTCTCACAAATTTGGATTTGTATTTCGGATTTGCCCAAACTATGCCTATCCTGTAACTACGTTCGCAAGAGGAGAAGCCTAAATGCCTAATCAATTGCTTAACCGTGTCTTCTAGGATAGCCCGACCGAAGAAATAGCATAAGCGCTTAGGGCATCTCCAACCTTTACCCCATTTTTGGTCCCCAAAATGGGGATTTCCCCACCATTTTGGGGACAACTTACTCCAACCATTTGCCCATTTTCTTTCCCAAATGTTTTTATTTCTTATTTTTCTTCTATATTATATTATTATCTTTTATTTCAATTTTATTTTTTTAATTTTCATTAAACAAATTCCATTTTTTATTTTTATTAATTTGTAATTTCCATTAAAACAATTCCATAAAATTTTAAATAATATAATTTATAAGAAACTATTATAGATTAACTAATAATTCAAATAAAAGTGAAATCATTGCAACATCTAATATTTTATATTTGCACAATTCATTTTTTGAGATAATTATATATTGTTTGTACAATTATAACTTATAATAAAATTAACTTACAATTTTACATAAAAATAATAAATGCACAAAATTTAATTTATCAAAATTATATACCAAAGTTAAGATGTAAAATTAATATTATAAAGACATTACATAAACATAATTAGAATATATATATAAAGAGATAAATTAAAAGATTAAATAATAAAATAATAAAAAATAATAATGAATAGTAATGAGGGAGATAAATAGTGTACCCCATATTTGAGGGAATACTATTCATCCCCATTTTGGGAACAGAAATAGAGAGGGTTGGAGCTAAATTGCCTTAGCCGCAAGTGCTTTATGACGGCAAACGCTTCCTATAAATACAGATCCCATTTTCGACCTAATCCCAACTCATCATACTTTGCTCTAATCCTCTAAGAAAACTATCCCTCTCATTCTCTCTATCTCCTCTCGTGTACTTCTCTCAAGGTAAATAATCTGTCTTTCTATTAATTCAATCATTTGTTGAAGACGTTTAAATTTACGCGAATTAGTGTATTCTATCAATATCTGAACAAAATTGTCCCTTTTTGGACGTTGATCGGCAGATCTGCCCCCAATTAATCAAATTTAGAACAATCTTTAATTGATGATACATGCCTTTTCTGTTCAATAGTATGTATTTGAAACTATTTTGATGTTATATCATTGGTTTTCCTTGTTTTGATGGATGTTTGTTAGTTTTTTTATAGGAATTGTTAATTGTGACCTAGCTAGGATTTCTTCAGTCAAATTGAATTAGATCCTAAAATTTTTACAAGTTTAAAGATTGATTTTTGTTTGCAAAAGAGGCCTTACTAATCTCTGGGATTTTGGATTTATTTATTCTCGCATGGGCAATATATAACAATTCTGTTCTACTTATGTAGATTTTGAACTATTCCCTATTTGGTAGCTATGGTTTTATGCTTTTAGTGTTTTGTTGAGTTGTTTGAATGATTGATTGTTCGAGGGAATGAACTTTGTTTAAAGTATCCAAAAATTGGATGTTAAATTTTTTTTAAGCTTATGTTACTTATGGCTGTAGAAAATGAGGGTGATTGAATTTTCCTTCTTTGATTTATCTCTTGTCTTCTACTAGCTATTTGGTAGCACCATTTAGCTGTCTTTGGAATGCTGCTTTCCCTTTATTACGAATCCTAATCAATTAGGATTCGTTTTGTTACACTCTCCTACCTGCAGTTGGGTAGGTTGATTTTGTTTCTCCTTCAATTTGTTTCATTGGATGACGTTTATTCCTAAACTAAGAACATCTAGGAGTCATCTCAATGTTATGAGAGTTTATATATGGGTGGTTTGCTTCTACGATCTTGATCACCAATAAGCTCCCAACTTTTGCCCTTGTAGAACTTTTTTGGGGACTTTGGGAGCCTGCTAGTTTTTTCATCCCCTTTTTAGGTAGATCTTGATTTGAAATTAAGTTGTGTTTTTCAATATATTTCAGATGCAGATCTTTGTTAAGACACTCACTAGAAAGACTATTACTCTTGAGGTCGAGAGTTCTGACACCATTGACAATGTCAAAGCTAAGATTCAGGACAAGGAAGGTATTCCTCCAGATCAGCAGAGGCTGATCTTTACCAGAAAACAGCTTCAAGATGGCCGAACTCTTGCTGACTACAACATCCAAAAGGAGTCTACCCTCCACCTTGTCCTCCGTCTCTGCGGTGGTATGCAAATCTTTGTTAAAACTCTGACCGGAAAGACTATTACGCTTAAGGTCGAGAACTCAGACACCATTGACAATGTCAAGGTAAAGATCCAGGATAAAGAAGGTATTCCTCCTGATCAACAAAGGTTGATTTTTGCTGGCAAGCAACTTGAAGATGATAGAACTCTTGCTGACTACAACATCCAGAAAGAGTCCACCCTTCGCCTTGTCCTCCGCCTTTGTGGTGGCATGCAGATCTTTGTCAAGACGCTTACCGGCAAGACAATCACCCTTGAAGTTGAAAGTTCAGATACCATTGACAATGTTAAAGTAAAGATCCAAGACAAGGAAGGTATTCCTCCAGACCAGTAGAGACTGATCTTTGCTGGGAAGCAACTTGAGGACGGGAGGACATTGGCAGATTACAACATTCAGAAAGAGTCAACCCTGAACCTTGTTCTTCGTCTTAGATGTGGCATGCAAATTTTTGTCAAGACTTTGATTGGGAATACAATAACTTTGGAGGTTGAGAGTTCTGATACCATTGACAATGTCAAAGCAAAGATCCAAGACAAGGAGGGTATTGTGACGATACGACCAGTCATCTCATGAATTACCGCTCCGTTATTCCCATTTCTACTTCTTTATGCCTCGTTATCCGCGTTTTATGTGATAGAGTTGATTAGTTTGCGTTCGGGGTGGATTTGGTAAGAAATGAGACACTTAGTCTCTTTTAGAAGGTTTAAGTTGGAAAGTCAACCGGATATTGACTTATGTGTTATAGGGCTCGGATGTTAGTTCCAATGGTTTGATTAGCTTCGGGAGGTGATTTATGACCTAGGAGTGTGATCAAAGTTAGTTTTGGAGGGCCGGTGTAGAATTAGGCTTGAATTGGCGAAGTTAGTATTTTGGCGATTTCTGGTTGGTAGGTGAAATTTTGATCCGAGGGTTGGAATGGAATTCTGAGAGTTGTTGTAGCTTCGTTATGTCAATTTTGATGTGTGTGCAAAATTTTAAGTTATTTGGACGTGGTTGTTTGGGCTTTTGATCGAAAGCGTATTTCGGAAGTTTTTAGAAAACTTAGGCTTGAATTCGATGTGAATTGATGGATTTGGTATTGTTTGAGGTGTTTTGTTGATTGGAACAAGTTTAAATGAGGTTTTAAGATGTGTTGGTGCTTTTGATTGAGGTCCCGGGGGCCTCGGGTGAGTTTCGGGTGGTCATTCGGACCATTTTGGAGTTTGAAAAGTTACAGAAAATGCAGGTTCAGCAGTTGCAGGGAGTGGGTCTTCGCGTTCACGAAGAGTCAGAAGAGGTTGAGGGATTTTTGCCTTCGCGTTCGCGAAGGGTTTCCTAGTGGTGTATCGCGTTTGCGACAGGAGCCTCGCGATCGTGTAGAGGTCAGTTAGGGGGAGACCATTTTGCCCATCGTGTTTGCGATGGTAAGGACGTGTTTGCGAAGGGTGTTCATGTTAAAGCATCGTGTTCGCAAAGGAGAATTTTTGGTCAACGCGAAGTTGTGCTTCGCGAACGAGAGAGGTTGACCACATTCGCGAAGAAGGAATACCATAACTAGGCAGAAAGTTTATAAGTTATTTCATCCGCGATTTTGAGTTATTTTCCTCCATAGTTAAGTATTTTGAGAGCCTTTTGAAGGTGATTAAAGAGGGTTTCAAGTAAAATTGATTGGAGGTAAGATTTTTGAACCTAAAACGTGATTTTATTGTGAAATTAACCTAGAAATTCATGGAATTTAAGCTAAAAATGGAAGAACTAGGGCTTGGGATTTTTGAACTTTTGAATTGGGATTTGAAGGACCATTTGAGGTTGGATTGGAGAACTTTTGATATGTATGAACTCGTGGGGTGATAATGAATCTAATGATGTGAAAATTTCTGAGTTTCAAGAAGTGGGCCCGGGGCTCGGGTTTTGCTAATTTCGGGATTTTCGATATTTTTCGATTGTTTTCACTTGGGTTTTGTTCCCGTAGCATATTGTGATGTAGTCGTTCTGATTTTTGGATAGATACGACGCACGTGGAGGCCAATTCGAGGGGCAAAGGCGTCGCGAGCTAGAGATTTTGCCGGTTCGAGGTGAGTAATGATTGTAAATGATGTCCTGAGGGTTTGAAACCCCGGATTGCACATCGTAGTGCTATATTGAGGTGAGACACGCGCTGGATGATAAGTGTGGGGTCTTTTACTACTGGGAATTGTGACTTGGTCCGTCGAGATTGATGATTTTACCGCGTATTTGACTGAAATTTATTTGTTATCATCACGATTTGGGCTGATTGCCATATTTGGGCTTCGTGCCAACTATTTTAACCCTTCGGAGATTTTTATCACTATTTCCTCACTGCGTTGACTTATTATTTGAACTCAGTCCTGTTGATGTCTACTGTTTTACAAACTCAACCACTTTTACTCAGATTTGAAAACTTATATGATATTTCTAAATGATGCTTTGGGCTGAGAACTACTGTTTTACTAATGCCCGAGGGGCTTGTGATGATTTTCGGACTGAGTGAGGCCGAGGGCCAAATATGAGGATATGTTGAGTGATGTGAGGCCGAGTGCCGAGTGATGTGAGGCCGAGTGCCGAGTGATGATACAACGAGGTGGTTTGATATAGCGCTTGGGCCGTAAGGGGCCCCTCTGGAGTCTGCACACCCAAAGTGAGTGCGAGTACCCATTATGATCTGAGAGTGAGCCCGAGGGGCTGATACTATTCTGAGTGATTGATACTGAGCCCGAGGGGCTGATACTGTTCTGAGCGATTGATACTGTGCCCGAGGAACGAATTTCTACTTGTTATTTACCTATTAAATTACCTATTTTACTTGTTTTAAAAAGGGATATCATTTGATTTCTTCACTGATTTACTGCTTTAAGTGATTTTACTGCTTGATATAGAATTGCTTTGTGCCTTTACGTGTTTTCATACTTTCAGCCATTATTTATAATTATTACTCATTGAGTCGGAGTACTCACATTAGTCCCTACACCATGTGTGCAGATTCAGGGTTCGCAGAGTCTGCTCTTGAGTGTTGATTCTCCCAGTCCAGGCAGGGATTCAGAGACTACGAGGTAGTTGTTGGCGTTCGCAGCCCCGTGCCTCCCTTATCTTATCATTTTCATGTTTTTAGAACTATTGTATCGAATTTAGTGGTCAGTAGACTTGTATCCGGATTTCTTAGTTGCTCATGACTTGTGACACCCAAGTTTGGGCTGTGTCGGGATAGTTTCTGTTGTTAGTATCATTAAATTCCGCAATTTATGGATATTAGATTATGTTTTATTGCCGTTTATGATAATTAATTGTTTAAAAGAGGTGTTCCATTTTGGTCTGGATTGCCTTGTCTTCACGAGAGGCGCCATCACGACCGGGTTCAGGAATTGGGTCGTGACAAGTTGGTATCAGAGCCTAGGTTACATAGGTCTCACGAGTCTTGAGCGGGTTTAGTAGAGTCTCGCGAATCGGTACGGAGACGTCTGTATTTATCCTCGAGAGGCTGCAGAACCTTTGTAGGAAAACTTCATATTCTTGAAACTCTTGTCGTGCGAACTTGTTGGTCCGAGTACTAAACTTCTGTTATTCCATTCTCTCACAGATGGTGTGGACGCGAGCTACCGGACGAGGTAGACGACGACCAGTGCCACCCACTGAGGCCACCAGAAGTCATGGATGCGGTCGTGGTCGTGGCAGAGGCAGAGCAGCGGGGGCAGCACCTGTATATCCACCAGCTGCCCTAGCTCCGGATTAGGCTCTAGCTATGGATGCTCCAGCAACACCAGTTTAGGCACCAGCTGTGCCCATCGTGATTCCGGGTCTTCAAGATGCCTTGGCATAGATCTTATTAGTTTGCACTGGCTTGGCTCAGGAAGTTTCAGCCACTATAGCAGCAGCTACTTCACAGGTCGGGGAGGCAATCAAACCCCCGCTGCTCGCATACCTGAGCAGGTAGTGCAGGGACTACAGATACCGAGGGCACCCCCAACTCAGCCGGTTGCACCAGCTCAGGAGTTTGTTATGCCAGTTATGCCGGATGATGAGTAGTGTCATCTTGAGTGGTTTGGTATACTCCAGCCTTTGTCATTCAGTAGTGCTGAGGGCGAGGATGCCCAGGGTTTTCTTGATAAGTGTCAGCGGATGCTCCGTACGACATGGATTCTTGAGACTAGTGGTGTGGCATTTACCACCTTTCAGTTTACTGGGGCTCCCTTCACATGGTGGGAGGCGTAGGCTAGTTAGAGCAGCGCCCCTTACTTGGCATGAGTTCTCCACTCTCTTCTTGGAGAAGTATGTACTGCGGTCTCGCAGAGAGGAGTTGCGTAGGTAGTTTGAGTGGTTGCGATAGGGGGATATGACTGTGTCACAGTATGAGTCGAGGTTTTCTGAGTTGGCTCGTCATGCCGTTTGGATTCGTCCCGACAGATCGTGAGAGGATCAAGATATTTGTTGATGGCCTTAACTATCATCTCAGTATTCTTATGACCCGAGAGAGGGTGTTGGGTGCTACGTTTGAGGAGGTGATCGATATCGCTCGCGAGATTGAGACGGTTCTCCGTCAGGATCGAGAGGAGAGGGAGGCCAAGAGGCCTCGAGGATCGGGCAGTTATAGTGGTGCTCCTTTGAGGGGCCGGTTTCAGTATGGTTGAGGTTGTTCTTTCAGGCCTGCTCAGTTAGCCTGCCCAGAGTATTACAGGGCATCTTCAGGTCGTGGTTATCATGGGTCACAGCAGGGTCAACCTTCACTCAGCGCCCTTCCAGCCCAGAGTTCATCTCGCGCCTCGTTAGCTCAGGGTTCTTCTATGCCGAGTGCATCAGCTGGTCACTCCGATATGAGGGATTCCCTTCAGTCCCCTTCTCCAGCACCTGGGAGTTGTTTTGAGTATGGAGAGTTTGGACATGTGTGGAGACAATGTCCTCGTCGTATTGCTAGTTCATCTCAGTAGAGGGGTCAACTCTCGACTTCTGCTCCAGTTACCTCACCACCCGCACAGCCAGCTAGGGGTGGAGGTCAGGCAGCCAGGGGTCGCCCCAGAGGGGGAGGTCGATCAGGGGGTGGTCAGGCCCGTTTCTATGCACTTCTAGGTAGGCCAGATGCTATTGCTTCAGATGCTGTCATTACAGGTATTGTTTCAGTCTGCCACAGAGATACCTCTGTATTATTTGATCCCGGTTCCACCTTTTCTTATGTGTCATCATACTTTGCTCGTTATTTAGGTCTGCCCCGTGAGTTTCTTACTTTACCTGTTCATGTATCTACCCCGGTGGGTGATACTGTTGTTGTAGACCGTGTGTACCGGTCATGTGTGGTGACTATTGGGGGTCTGGAGACCCAAGTAGATTTATTGCTATTGAGCATGGTGGATTTTGATGTCATTTTGGGCATGGATTGGTTGTCTCCATGTCTGTGCTATTCTGGACGGTCATGCTAAG